GATAGCATTAAAAAAAATCAACTTTTGCAAGTCAAAACATCCTAAGTAAAAAGATAAATCATAAACCAGAAAAGGATATCAATACTCATCACAAAGGGCTAATACCTGTTTGTGTAAAGAGTTTCTAAGAAATGAAAAAGAAAAAACCCAATATCCTTCCAAAAAATGAACAAAAGTATGATAAAAATGGTTCAGAGAAGAAAAACCGCAGGGTTGGCATTATGTCATAATGGATTAATCTGCCACCTGCAGCACTGGCATCTCATGTGGGTGCCAGTTCCCATCCCAGCTGCTCCACTTCCAGTCCAGCTCCCCACTACTGTGCCTGGGAAAGCAATGGAAGATGATCTAAGTTCTTGGGCCCCTAAACCCACATGGGAGACCTGGAAGAAGCTCCTGGCTCCTGGCTTTGGCCTGGCCCAGCCCTGGCCATTGCAGCTATTTGGGAAGGGAACGAGGAGATGAAAGACCCTAACTCACTCTCTCTCCCCTTTCTACCTCCCCTTCAAATAATTATAAATCTTAACCAAAAAAAAAAAGTAAGTAGTCCTTAAATATGCTCAACTTCACTTATAAAATGAATGAAAATTAAACCACAGAAAATTTACTCTTCCATGTAACAAATTCTTAAAAAATACTCTAAGACCAAGGCCATGGAGTTACAGGCAACCTCAAAACCTGGTGGCTGTAATGCAAAGTGTGCAAGCCTTATGGAGAGGAATCTACCTTTAACCCAGCGTTCTGAAAACCTGTAACAAGACACACTGACGGCCGGCACTGCGGCTCACTAGGCTAATCCTCCGCCTAGCGGCGCCGGCACACCGGGTTCTAGTCCCGGTTGGGGCGCCGGATTCTGTCCCGGTTGCCCCTCTTCCAGGCCAGCTCTCTGCTGTGGCCAGGGAGTGCAGTGGAGGATGGCCCAACTGCCTGGGCCCTGCACCCCATGGAAGACCAGGAGAAGCACCTGGCTCCTGCCATCGGATCAACACAGTGCGCCGGCCGCGGCAGCCATTGGAGGGTGAATCAATGGCAAAGGAAGACCTCTGTCTCTCTCTCTCACTGTCCACCCTGCCTGTCAAAAAAAAAAAAAAAAAAAAAAAAAAAGCAATGCCTAAGGGTACTCACTGCAATGCTACATAACAGCAGAAGACCAGATATAGTCAAATGTCTATCAATAAAGACCTATGCAGCCGTAAAATGGAACGACAATGCCCTCCCCATATACTGCTACGGAGTGACCTCCAGGTTATAAACAGTAAGCACGGAAGATGATGTCAGGTCCAGTATGTCCACACTAGAAAGGACAATATATGCATGTGTCTGTGTACAGGTATGTGTACTACGGCATGTAACAAATATGCATTATCTAGAAATGTATACACACACCCAATAGAGATCACATACATATACATCTGCAAATATCACATGGATGGTATATCTGTCCACATTTTCAAACAATCAACAATAGAAATTTTTTTTTTGGAGGGTGGAAGTGGAGGGAGACAGTGCTCCCATTTGCTGGTTCACTTCCCAAATGCCTGCAATGAGCGACCAGAGACAGGCAGGGTTCAAAGCCAGGAGTTGGGAATTCAATTCAGGTCCCACACATAAGTGGCAAGAACCCAATCACGTGGATCGTCACCTCCCAGGGTTTGCCTTAGCAGGAAGCTACAATCAGGAACCAGAACTGGAAACAGAACCCAGGAGCTCCATTACAGCACGTAGATATTTTAACTACTGTATTAACCCCTGGGCCAAACACCCCAGGAAGCAAAATTTATTCTAAGAGAAATCACCTAGTTTCTTAAAATGAAATTTTAAAAAACAGAAATGCAACAAATTAACAGATGCTGAAAAGAATATAACAAAATGTGATGTAGACCTTATATGGATCCCAGTTCAAACACACCAAGTATAAAAAGATGTTTCTGAGACAACTAGAGAAAATCAAAAGTATACCTGGCATCAGATGACATAATTATTGTGAATTTTATTGGGTATGATAGTGGTGTTATATAGGCTTTTCTGTTTTTTTCTTTTTTTTTTAAAGACTTATTTATTTATTTGAAAGGCAGAGTTAGAGAGAGACAGGAAGAGGAAAAGACAGAAAGATAAATGGACAAGATGGCCTGGACTGGGCCAGGCTGAAGCCAGGAGCCATCCAGGTCTACCACATGGGTGATAGGGGCCCAAGCACTTGGGCCATCTTCTCATGCCTTCCCAGATGCATTAGCAGGGAGCTGGATCTAACGTGGAGGTGCTGGGACTTGATCCACTGTTTGTATGGAATGCAATCATCGAAGGTAGTGGCAGTATAACCCACTACACCAGAATATCAGCCCCATTTTGGATTTTTTTTTTCAAGTTTATAACTTTTAACCCAGAACAAGTTTCCTTTTTAAAAATAATACTTTACTCATTTACTAATTAAATTGCCATTTATGTTAAAAAAATTGTCCAAGTGTCATTTAAACATATTCCTTTATCCCTTATTTATCCTGTGAATTGGTAATTAGATCTAGATACTCCCATAGATACGGAAACAATTCCTTCAGCAAAAATATTCTAGGTGGTACTTTGTACTTCTTACTGGATTTCCTTTGGAGGCGCATGTTCATATCTGATTGTCATACTTTTTAAATACATACTAAAGTACTTATAGATAAAAAGATCTGATGGCTGAGATTTGGTATAAAACAACCAAGGAAACTAACAAAACAAGTGTGGAGAGCTAGAACAAGGTGGCAGTTTGTTTAGAGACATCGAAGAGGAGTAGGGCAGCTGTTTGGCATAGAAGTTAAGATGCCACTTGGGACCCCGGACCCCACATCACGGGGCCTGACTTGAGTCCCAGCTGCCCAGATTCCAATCCAGCCTCCAGCTAACGCACGCTGGGAGGCAGCAGGTCATGGCTCAGGCAGTTGGGTCCCTCCTTCTCAAGTGGGAGACCCAGACTGAGTTCCAGGCTCCTGGCTTCAGCCTGGCCTACCCCTGGCTGTTGCAGGCGTCTAGGGAGTGTAGTAGTAAATGTAAGACAGATCGATCTCATTCTCTGCCTTTTAAATAAAAATGAAAATAAATTTTTAAAAACTTCTACATCAAAAGAATTCAGTTGTTCTTTTATAAAGCCTGTCTTCCACATTTACTGAGTGCCCACTAACCAAAGGGGAGAGTGTGTCTTCAAGAAACTAAACTTTGGCCGGCGCCGCGGCTCACTAGGCTAATCCTCCGCCTGCAGCGCCGGCACACCGGGTTCTAGTCCCGGTTGCTCCTCTTCCAGGCCAGCTCTCTGCTGTGGCCCGGGAGTGCAGTGGAGGATGGCCCAAGTGCTTGGGCTCTGCACCCCAAGGGAGACCAGGATAAGCACCTGGCTCCTGCCTTCGGATCGGCAGTGCATCGGCTGCAGCGCGCTGGCAGCAGCGGCCATTAGAGGGTGAACCAACAGCAAAAGGAAGACCTTTCTGTCTCTCTCTCACTGTCCACTCTGCCTGTCAAAAAAAAAAAAAAAAAGAAAGAAAGAAAAGAAAGAAACTAAACTTTGCAATCTCTTACTCATTTCAACTATCCAGCCTGGAAAATACAAAACCTCAAAAAATGTCTGAAATGATGCTCTCTAACTGGATACTTAATGTTTACAAAAAAATGGAATTAAAGAGGAGCTTATTTGGGTGCAGCTTTTCGTTGTACTCACTTCCCATAAACTTTCTGAAGGCCTTTGTACCCATCTGGTTATCAGTTTCTTGAAGACACTCTCCACTTTGCTCACTGGGACTCAGTGAACGGCGGCTGACTCTGGCTGGATTCTCCCTGAGCACAGGAATACAACCCACCCAGCTTCCTGAGGAGCTCACGGAGTAAGAACACAGCCTGCATTCACAACTCTTTTCTGAAAGGTTTAACATGCTCACCTATGTGACATGTTTTCACAAAAGTTCAATATTACACTCTGCAAGGATCATCACTTCCTCTTGGGTAGGAAATGACACAGGTGGTGACGTTTTGCTCCTTCACACAACCTCATCAACACAGGAAAAAGCGCTTAACAAACGGTACCTCTGTCTTCCCACATTCATCAGGCGGATCCTGGTGTATGGTCATTTGATACTTGACATATAAAGAAAAGGACTGGCTGAAGGACGACTGGAATTCTGGGTCTTCAAAGGAGACAGGTACTAACCTCACCTTCAGAGCAAGGAAAACACAAGCAGACGCTGTTGAAACCTCTCCACCCCACGACATGCTTCTGAAGGTGAGGCTAGAGCAAGGTCTCCGCAGATCCACTTCCAAAGCTCAGCGCTGGGGGCCACCCTGGAGGCAGGCTGCTGGCACAGTCTGCAGTGCCGGTGGTGCACCGATGCTTACCAAAGTCTTGGACTCACAAAGGCCAAGGCAATTGGATTTTGCTTTGTTTTTTTCTCCACCCACTACTGTGGCTCTGTGCACTCACCAGAGTCAACTTTGTGATCATGGCCACTACTTTTGCCAACCTCTACTTATATTAGGCGAATTTAAGATTTTTTTTTCCCTTCCAGATTTTTCTTGGGTCACTTGATTTATAAAATTATAAGAATGAGGACTTGTATGAAAACATTCTACTATCTGCTCTTCTCATCCCACTCAGCTGTGCATGGCCAGTACACAGAATAATTCAGCTATCATGAGTTCTGTCAACATATGACTTTCAGATATGGATAAAGCTTATTAACTGTCTTGCACTAAGTATGGATGTTTTAACTTGAAGATCACCTTTAGATAAATTCATCTAAACAGTGACTTTAAGTAAAGCAATTTTACATGGTGCTTTGTCTGCTTTGAAACTACATATGACTGCTCAAATTTGCACTTTCAGAATGTCCAATAATTCGGTGCTATCTCTTGGCAGATATGCCTCAAACTGAACATAAATAAATATTTCACAAATAAACCGAGACTTCATACGACGACACCAAATGGAGGGGGAAATTCTGTTTGCACAGAACAGTCTCACTTGGCCTGCTGACCTGGCTCTCAGTGGGCTTATCAGGTGGGTCCTTGTGAATGAGCATCTGGTACCGCTTATAGACCTGGTAGGACTCCCGAAATGTGGCTTTGAACTGGGAACTTGGTGGAGACGATCGCACCACCCTCACCTTCAGAAGGAGTTAAGAAAACAACGCGCATTAATTCATTCATTTACTCATTCCATGATAGACATGTCAATGGCAACTCCCACCCATAAAAACAAGTTTCAATACAAAATTAAAGATAAGCACATTATTTTAACCTTAGAAAAATCAACAAGCAAATAGAGAGAAAAGATACTTCTGCAACCCACTGACTCATTCATGCAGCAGAGCATGAATCATCTAAATTCTACCCACTCTGGCGGGGTTAGGGCAGCCACCGTGACTGTGCACTGGCAGCATGTGCCTGGCGTTTACAACACAAACTAAATTTTAGTTTTAGTTGTATACAACTCAGTGCCACAAAGATTAAAAATGTGAATGTATTTTCTAGAACTCTTTCATTCATCCTTGCTAACTCTATACTCATACTTCGATTTTATAAAAACCAAACTTCATCAATATTCTTTTTTTTTTTTTTTTTTTTTGACAGGCAGAGTTAGGCAGTGAGAGAGAGAGACAGAGAGAAAGGTCTTCCTTTTCCGTTGGTTCACCCTACAATGGCCACTGCAGCTGGTGCACCATGCTGATCCGAAGCCAGGAGCCAGGTGCTTCTCCTGGTCTCCCATGGGGTGCAGGGCCCAAGGACCTGGGCCATCCTCCACTGCACTCCTGGGCCACAGCAGAGAGCTGGACTGGAAGAGGAGCAACCGGAACAGAATCCGGCGCCCCAACCGGGACTAGAACCCTGGGTGCCGGCGCCACAGGCGGAGGATTAGCCTAGTGAGCCGCGGCGCCGGCTTCATCAGTATTCTTATATCACAGAATGGTTAAGAAGGAAGACTATGAAATAAGATTTCTTTATGATGTCACCCACTGGTCAACTAACTTCTCCATGCCTTAGTTTTCTTGCACATAAAATGAAGACAAGTTAAAAGCAGTAATTGCTAAAATTTAACACTAACTATCTACTAACTCATTTAAATGTGCTAGCAAAACAGAAAAATCAAAAGCATTGCAGCAGCCTAAACTGGAAACTGTGTGTCCTAAGTGGCTCTTGTTTGAAGAAAGAGTGACCCCCAGTGGACAAGAGTCGCTACACATCTGGGGTACCGCCACATTGAGACGGTAGTTGACTTCTGAAGAGCTATATGAAGTGCGTATTTGGTTCCAGGAAAGATTATCATTGATGATGAAAAGATTAAAGACTATTTATTAAATATTTTAAAGTAGAACAAAATATTTTAAGTAGTGTGTTCAACTCTCTTTACAATTTTGGCAGAGAAAACAATAGAATCAGAGTAGTCAATGACTTGGATTAGTAGAAAAAACTGTTGTCTGATGAGGTAGGTGGTCTGGCTCAGCAGTCAAGATGCCATGTCGCACAGTGGAGCACCTGGGTCTGATTACAGGCTCCAGCTCCCTGCTAATGTCGGTCCTGGGAGGCAGCAGGTAATTGCTCAAGTACTTGGGTTCCTGTCCCCCACTGGGAGATGTGGCTTGAGTTCTCAGCTCTGGCCTGGCCCAATCCTGGCCATTATAGGCATCAGGGAAGGGAACTAGCAGATATCTTTGTCTCTCAAATAAAAAAATTATGTCTAAGGGCTGGCGCTGTGGCAGAGGGTAAAGCCGCTGCCTGCAGTGCCAGCATCCCATATGGGCTCTGGTTCGAGTTCCAGCTGTTCCACTTCCAATCCAGCTCTCTGCTATGGTCTGGGAAAGTCCTGGAAGACGGCCCAAGTCCTTGGGCCTCTGTACCCACGTGGGAGACCCAGAGGAAGTTCCTGGCTCCTGTCCTCAGATTGGCGCAGCTCCAGCCATTGCAGCCATCTGGGGAGTGAACCAGCAGATGGAAGACCTCTCTCTCTCTCTCTCTCGCTCTCGCTCTCTCTCTGCCTCTCCTTCTCTCTCTGTGTAACTCTGACTTTCAAATCAATAAATCTTTAAAAAAATTATGTCTAATAATACATGTATTGTCCTAATGTTTAAGATGCATTAAACTTAATTTATTATGATAAGTCTTTAAAGGTAAGTGATACTTTTAGATGATATTCAATTATAAATTCAAGTGCTAATTCAAGTGCATACTACTCAGGTATGAGTATATGACAAAATCATTATGGCTTATGTTTTATATAGCAATTTTATATTTTTTATAAACTCATACTGAAAATCTGAATTTGATATAGAAGCATAAACCAACGTGGGAGGGTGGGAATTTAGCTCTAACAGTATTTGTAATATGCCTGAATTGGCTTGGGGACACCACTGAAAGAGGATTTCAGTGTATAATTTAGTACTGCCTAGCTATTTCCTAACTCCTGGCTTGCATATATGACATTTGTTTGTGCCTTGATCACGATCAGAATATTACATGCATAAAACAATGTTCTGCCAAATGGGTTCTATTCTTTTACTGTCTAAACTATCTTTTACTATCTAAATTTCAAAAATAAAATTTTAAGGAGAATTTTTTTCATCTTAATCATTAAATATGAATTAAGGAACATAAAAAGCCAGAGCACTCCGCAAAATAGGCTAAACCTGCAATTGTGTTCACAACTTTGGTAGCCAAATTGCTATAACATTAAGTATTTTTTTAAATAAAATTATTTCTTCCAAACAGCAGTTTGCTACTCTACCAACTCAAATCTCTTTAGTTACTCACTATTCAGATAGCAAACCATAACTGATGAGTATAACCTCAACTGAAATAAAGGAAAGAACACAAATCAACCAACAAGTCAAGTACCTCTAATTTGTGTGATGCATTCTCTGGTAAAGTTTCAAAAATTAACTCTTCAAGTGACTTGGGCTGGTTGGATTTGGCCTTTGGTGAGAACAGAGGCAGCGGCTGACCTTGAGCCGGGAAGCCCTCTCCAGCAGGGGTTTGCTGCATGAGTTTTAATCTCTTCCTTTCTTTCCGGATTTCCTTTGCTTTTCGACACGGAGGCTTGCTCAGATCAGCCCCTTTGCCTGAAAAGAATGCCACAATATTACACCAATCACGTTTGTCTCTAGAAGCAGTTTTCCCAAAAGCCTCAAGATTCTACAGAATAAGCACAAAGAGCCCCACAACGCAACTAGCTTTGGAGGGGCTGCTTCAGATGATCCCTGGATGGACTCTGAAATGGTCTTCAAACTCCACCCCAGAAGGAGCTGCCCAACGTACATCCTCACAGCAACTCTGCACAGCACCAATGACAAGGGTACTTAACACAGTCATGGAAAATGCAATGCCAAGTTTTAATACTGGGGACTGGATTAAGACGGCATAGCAGGGAGGGAGCTTGCTGCTACAGTCCAGGAGACAGTTTAAAAAGCAGGAAAACTGCAGTCTCAGGGAAGTTAGGAGAAAACGGCAGAGGAAACTACGCAAATCAGAGGGGCACAGTGGACCTGCATGGAGGGCGAGGACATGCACAACTCAGACCCCAGCAGCCGAGGGCCTCCGCACCAGTGTTGGAGAGTGAGGGACACAGTGGACCTGCATGGAGGGCGAGGACATGCACAACTCAGACCCCAGCAGCCGAGGGCCTCCGCACCAGTGTTGGTGAGGCAAGACCAGACTGCAGCAGGCCAAGCCACTGGCAAAAAAGCTGCAGGAAGAGCCTAGAGGGAATCCAGCTTGAAGGCCCGTGGGGGGACACTGTACCTGCCAAACTAAAGGAGAAAAAACATTTTCTCTCTCCCGATCACCATGCAAGCTGATAGAGATCTCTCCCGATCGCCTGTTACAAGCTGATAGAGAGCAGGCACAGTTTTGGACATATATAACAGCCTGTGTCCACGTGAGCAACCAGCCAAATGGAGACCCGAGTATGGTGGGGGGAACAGACAGGGGGCTGGGTGCTCATGACTATGGGAGGCTTATGAGCCTGGACTGTGAAAACAGAGAGGCTGCGTGGGAGGGCTCAGGGTGTGGCTGGGACTTCGGGCAGTCACTGTGGGAGGCTCCCTGGTTACCTGGGGAGGGACATTGCTGGGGAATCTGCTTGCACCAAGAACCGCACAAATCCTTTGTATGGTCCCATGGCAGAGCAGACAAATAATATACCCACTGGGGCTAGGTTCCTTTGAGGAGAAGAGCTCAGCTGAGTCTCCATCAAAAGACGAGAACAAACTTCCCCTCTGATTAAAAACAAATAAAGAGGAGATCTACCATGCCAAACCTGAGTGTGTCACCTGAGACACGTGCTTCACTCTGGAGCACTGAACATCGATCACATACCTCTAGGTGTTCCCTGACAGCAGACACTCCACTAATCCACACAGACATAGCACAAAGATAAAAGTCGGCACAGCAGATAAAACAAACCAACAAGTATCTCCACAAATCCTGAATAACACACATGCCAATTCAATAAATAAGAATAAGGAAGACAACAGGACACCCCCAAAAGAGCACAACACTTCAATACTGGACTGTGAAGATGATGAGTTGAAGAAATGCCAGAAATGGAATTCAAACAACTGATCATACGATAACTCAAAAGTAATCAGAAGCAAATGCACAAACTAATGAAATCTATACATGACATGAAAAAATTTCTCCCACGAAACTGAGATCTCAAGAGAAATCAAAATGAAATCTTGGAAATGAAGAATTCAATAGAACAAATAAAAAAGGCAGTGGGAAAGCCTTAAAAACAGAATCAGGCCGGTGCCGCGGCTCACTAGGCTAATCCTCCGCCTAGCGGCGCCGGCACACCGGGTTCTTGTCCCGGTTGCCCCTCTTCCAGGCCAGCTCTCTGCTGTGGCCAGGGAGTACAGTGGAGGATGGCCCAAGTGCTTGGGCCCTGCACCCCATGGGAGACCAGGAAAAGCACCTGGCTCCTGGCTCCTGCCATCGGATCAGCGCGGTGCGCCGGCCGCAGCGCGCCAGCCATTGGAGGGTGAACAAACGGCAAAGGAAGACCTTTCTCTCTATCTCTCTCACTGTCCACTCTGCCTGTCAAAAAAAAAAAAAAAAAAAAAAAAAAAAAAAAACAGAATCAATCGGTTAAGCAGATAAAGAATATTTGACTTGGATGACAAAGCACAGGGAATTATACAGTCAGACCAAACACAAAAAGAAATCTGAAAACTAAAAACACTGTTGGTAATCTGAAGGTAGATACTATCAAACAACCCAACATACGGGTTCTAGGAGTTCCTGAAGGCATGGAAATAGAGAAAGGATTAGAAGGCCTTTATAGTGAAATAATAACAGAAAATTTCCCTAATTTGGAGATGAAAAGGAACATCCAAGTACAGGAAGTACATAGAACTAATAGACATGACCAGAAAAGATCTTCACCACGACACACTGTAATCACACTCTCCGCAGTAAAACATAAAGAAAAGATCCTAAAACGTGTACCAGAGAAATTATAAATTTCTGAGGATCTCCAATTAGACTGACAGCTGACTTATCAGAAATTCCACGGGCTAGGACAGAATGGCAAGATATACACCAAGTCTTAAGAAAAAACCTGTCAACCCAGAATACTATACACAGCAAAGCTCTCATCTATGAACGAAGACGAAATAAAGACCTTCCATAACAAAGAGAAATTGAAAGAATTTGTCACAACCCATCCAGCCCTCAGGAAGATGCTTAAGGACATGCTGCACACAGAAACTCAGAAACACGGTCATCCCTACAAAAGAAGGTAAAGGAAGGAAATATCCCAGTAAAAACTACAAAGAAAACCCAAGTAAAAATAGGAATATTTATGGGAAAATGGCAGGGCTAAGATGTTACTTATCAATAGTCACCTTGAAAGTAAATGGCCTCAGCTCTCCAATTAAAAGACAGACTGGCTGAATGGATTAAAAAACATCTCAGCAACAAAGATGCACGCAGAATGAAAGTGAAAGGATGGAAAAGATATTTCAAGCCAACAGAAACCAAAAGAGCTGGTGTAGCCATCCTAATATCAGACTAACATAAAAACTGGTAAAAGAGACAAAGAGGGGCACTATGTAATGATTAAGGGATCAATTCAACAGGAAGCTGTGACTACTATAAACGTATATGCAACTAACTACAAGGCACCTGGCTATTTAGAAGGTATAGAAGGAACATTCCTCCACACAATCAAGGCAATTTATGACAAACCCACAGCCAGTGTCCTCTTGAATGGGGAAAAGTTGTAAGCATTCCCACTGAGATCTGGAACCAGATAAGGATGCCCACTCTCACCACTGCTATTCAATACAGTCCTGGAAATTTTAGCCAGAGCCATTAGGCAAGAAAAAGAAATCAAAGGGATACAAATTGGGAAGGAGGAAGTCAACCTATCCCTATTTGCAGGTGACATGATTCTGTATTTAGGGGATGCAAAAGACTCCACCAAGAGACGACCAGAACTCAGAGAGTCCGGTAAAGTAGCAGGATACAAAATCAATACCCAAAAATCAACAGCCTTTGAAGACTCAGACAATACCAAGGCTGAGAAAGAACTTCTCCGATCAATCCCATTCACAACAGCTACAAAAAAAGTCAAATACCTTGGAATAAATTTAACCAAGATGTCAAAGATCTCTATGATGAGAATTATGAAACATTAAGGAAATAGAAGAAGATACAAAAAAAGGAAAAATCTTCCATGTCCGTGGTTTGGTGAATCAATATCAAAAATGTCCATTCTTCCAAAAATGATTTACAGATTCAATGAGACACCAATCAAAATACCAAAGACATTCTTCTCAGATCTAAAAAAAATGATACTGAAATTCACATGGAAACACAGAAGACCTTAGCTAAAGTAATCTTATACAACAAAAACAAAGTTGGAGGCACAATACCAGATTTCAAGACATACTACCAGGCAGTTATAGTCAAAACCGCCTGGTACTGGTACAAAACAGATGGGTAGACCAATGGAACAGAACAGAAACATCAGAAATCAACCCAAGGATCTACAACCAACTTACATTTGAGAAAGGAGCTAAAACCATCCCTGGATCAAGGACAGAATCTTTAACAAATGGTGCTGGGAAAACTGGATTTCCACATGCAGAAATATGAAGCAGGACCCCTACCTTAAACAAAAATCCATTCAAAATGGATGATACCATTAAATTAGAGAACATTGGGGAAATCCTGCAAGATACTGGAACAAGCAAAGAGTTCTTAGAAAAGACCCCAGAGAAGCAGGCCACATGGCAGACTCATAGAATGACAAATGCCCTAAACAGCACTCTGACCTTTTATTTTATTAAAAAAAAAAAAAAAAACCAGAGGCACAGTCAATCAAAGCCAAAATTTAAAAATGAGAATACATCAAATTGAGAAGCTTCTGTACTGCAAAAAACACTCAGGAAAGTGAAGAGGCAACCAACAGAATGGGAGAAATTATTTGCAAATGCTTCCTTGCTTCGGACCTGCACAGCTCCAGCTGTCGCAGCCAACTGGGGAGTGGACCAGTGGATGCAAGATCTCTCTTGTATGGATGGATTTCAAATTTTTTTTGCCCAAAAATAAAAGTATTTTAATTCCATTTCTTCACAAGCTTTTTGAAGCACCTTTATATACATTAAAATATTTAGGAAAAAAACCTGGGAAGCACTATATCACGTTAACAGTCATTTATGAGAGCTTGGACACAAAGAAAGCATCTTCCTCTTTTCCTGTAGCGTTTCCTTTTCTCTAAATGTTCAACCAATGAGCATTACTTTGCAATTTTCTTGGAAAGTTAGTGAGAAAGCTATTTTTAAGATCCCCAAGCAAGGGCCAGTGCTGTGGTGCAGTGGGGTTTAAGCCTCGCATCCGATATGGGCACTGGTCGGAGTTCCGGCTGCTCCACTTCCGATGCAGCTCCCTTGCCAATATGCCTGGGAAAGCAGCAGCAGATGACCCAATGCTCGTGCTCCTGTGCCCACGTGGGAAACCTGAAAGAAGCTACTGGCTCCTGGCTTCAGACTGGCTCAGCTCCAGCCATGCAGCCATCTGGGGAGTGAACCAGAGGATAGAAGACCTCTCCCTGTCTCTACCTTTGCCTGTAACTCTGTCTTTCAAATAAATAAAAATAAATCTTTAAAAAAAAAAATCCCAAAGCACAGTATTCACTAATCATATAAAACTTAGCAATAAGAAAGTTTATAGAACTAGTAAAGTTAGTTTTTAATAAAGAAAATTAAGACCTAGAATAGGTAAGGGACTTGCCAGAAACCAAAAGCTGGTCAACAAAGGTAAATTTCATGAGAAAATTGTGAGCACATAAATAGTGAGCCCACATTATAACTTGACTAAACACGCTAACTAAAAGCAAAGTCCACCTACTATAAAAAGACGGGATAAATCTAACAACCACCAAGTAGCAAAAGACTGGTTCTAAAATTGACCGTTATTCTACTGCCTTACAGAATTTTCCTAGGCCAGGGATTGTGCCTCAGATTTTGTTCTGGGAGACACAGGAGTTAAGAGCACACATCTGAAACAGGTGCTGGAGGTCAAGGACCAGCTCTGTCTCAGCTCTGTGACCTCTGGGCTAGAGTCCTATTCTGCACAAGAAAGAGAATGCACAGAGGAGTCACCAGCAAGTGCAGCTCATAAAGCAGTTTCCACCAGGCAGCGAGAAACCTTGTTACCTATCTGCATCACCAGTATCTAGACTTAAGCTTTACCTATAGAGGTAAAAATAGTAACGGGGGGGGGGGGGGTCCCATTGTCTAATATCTACTGCAAACTGCATGTTTTAAAATATGGACAAATTTTAAAGTGATATGGAGTGAATAAGAAACACAAATGCAGGGCATGTACGAAAGACCATTTACGTGGTCTTCACACTCACGAATGCTGGATGAGGCTTCCTCGTGACTTTCTCCATCACTACAGATTACTAACCACGATGGACAGTAAATCAGGATGTCAGCTGACTGAGGGGACACAGGTCTTGCAGACCCGTAAACTCCTGCAGTAGGACAAACCAGATCATCACTGCAAAGCCAGCTTGCCACACAGCCCTGCAGCCAGGGGTTCAAATGGAGTCACGAATTTTACATTAGTCCCAAGTGACATGAATAGACAATAGCAGAACTGTAACATTTTGAATGTTTCCAAATACGATTAGAAACAAAATGGAAATGCAGGTCTCAAAAATCCAAGGATTTTCAGGGTATATAACAATCTCAGATTCCTAGTAAGAGATACACTAAGGGAAAAAAAGCTGAAAAACAAAGTTTTTTAAAGTTTCAATAGTCATACTGCTAGAAGTAAGGTTTTGTTCTTCTAAAACTCTTGTGTAATGTGAGATAAAGCAAATGGGTAACCATGTTTGGCCATCAGAGGAGTGAATCAGCAGATGGAAGATCTCATTATCTCTCTCTCTCTCTCTCTCTCTCTGGCTCCCTCTATCCCTCTCCCTCTGTAACTCTTTCAAATAAATCTTTTAAAAAAATGTATTCTGAAATACAAGATGACATCATACCTGAAATTCGCTTCAGTATAACACTGGAAGGTGAACTCAATATAGGTATAGATGATACAAGAACTGTTATCATTAGTCAGTAAGGGTACATGAAAGAACATTAGAATTTTTAATCTATGCTTGTCTATGTTTGAAGTTCTCCATAATGAAGTTTTTTCAAACTATAAGTTAACTTTTCTAGTAAAAAATTTTAAAAGAAGTAATACTATCACCAAAGAGAGTAAGGGTTGAAAGAAACTAAGTCATTCAAAACATTACATTGGACAATTCTTACCAATTAGAATAAAGTCTCATACCAACATCAATTTAAACATCATGAAAGTCTCATGAAAAAAACTAGTCAATGAAGTGCAAAGGGGAGGCTGTCTGTGCTTTGACTTGTATGAATCATTTAGACAAGAAACACCACACTTGCACGAGAACCCCTCCTTTGGGTTGTTCCGAGTAAGTAAACCTAAGAACTAACCAAGAACTGAGGCATGAGGACCATCCAACTTCACATGCCATGAAAAAATTCTGAAGAATTCACATAAACATCCTAATAAACCCACTGAATGATGGCTAAATTTTTTTTTTTTTTTTTTTTTTTTTTTGACAGGCAGAGTGGACAGTGAGAGAGAGAGACAGAAAGGTCTTCCTTTGCCGTTGGTTCACCCTCCAATGGCCGCCGCGGCCGGCGCGCTGCGGCCGGCGCACTGCGCTGATCCGATGGCAGGAGCCAGGAGCTAGGTGCTTTTCCTGGTCTCCCATGGGGTGCAGGGCCCAAGCACCTGGGCCATCCTCCACTGCACTCCCGGGCCACAGCAGAGAGCTGGCCTGGAAGAGGGGCAACCGGGACAGAATCCGGCGCCCCGACCGGGACTAGAACCCGGTGTGCCGGCGCCGCTAGGCGGAGGATTAGCCTAGTGAGCCGCGGCGCCGGCCTGATGGCTAAATTTCTTATGCCTAATTCTTCTGTAAGAATACAGAAAAAAAGTTACCTTATTGAAAGGAAAGGCAAACATCAAATTCTGTACCCTTTTAAACTAAGATTTTTATAATTCCATAAAGAAACTTTATGATAAAGAACCTTATATCTAATTTGTATATTAAACATAATTTATTTTGCTCAATACCACAACTAAGAATGCTTACCACCATACCTTTTCACTGACAAAAATTTCTCGAACCTCTAAAATGGTAAGAAATGGAACTCTTGCGAAATCTGTATTTGGGGTAGCGGCAAGGCTACTGTTCCAACCTCTTTAAGCAGAGCAGATTACAAAGATGCGAGCTACCCATCTAAATCCAGGTAATGAGCTGTCCAAAGCAGGCCTCTGGCTTACAGATTTCATGAGTAATTCCTCTTACTTAGCTAATGGCAGGCCCAGGGATTACAATGACTGAAGCAAAAAGGAAATCAGGGAATGTGACTTGACAGTCACACTTCACTACCTGGCTTAGGTGCTGTGTGAACTCTGACTGAACGTGATGGTTCACCAGAGCCCAACTTCTCCTCTATGCCTTGTGACTGAATTAATTCATTAGAATCTTCTTTCTTCACATTTTTTCCTTTCTTCTTCTCCTCACTCTCTAGGCTCTGTTTGAAGTCATTACTGAGTGTTTTAAGGTCACACTTTATATCCAGTTTATTGATTAATGCAAAGTCACCCCCGACAGCATCCTCCATTGTAGAATCCATGGGCTCATCTGCAAATCAGAAGAAAGGAAAGTATATCAGCAAGGAGGTCTGGTGCAGTTAAGATAAACACAGGAATACACTGGGGGCTGGAGCTGTGGCCAAGCAAGCAAAGCTGGCGTCCCATATGGGCACTGGTTAGAGTCCCAGCTGCTCCACTTCCAGGCCAGCTCCCCGCTAATGTGCCTGGGAAAGTGGCAGAGGATGGCCCAAATGCTTGGCCCCTGCATCTTTGTGAGAGAATGGCAAGAAACTACTGACTGCAGACCAGCCCAGCTCCAGCCACTGCAGTCATTTGGGAGTGGAGTGAACCAGCAGAAGGAAGACCTTTTTTTTTTTTTTTTTTAAAAAAAAGATTTACTTATTGGAAAGTCAAAGTTACAGAGAGAGGTAGAGACAGAGAGAGAGGGGTCTTCCATTCATTGGCTCACTCCCCAGATGGCTGCAATGACCAGGGCTGATCCAAAGCCAGGAGCCAGAAGCTTCTTCTGGATCTCCTATGTGGGTACAGGGGCCTGAAGACTTGGGCCGTCCTCCACTGCTTTCCCAGGCCAACGCAGAGAGCTGGATCGAAAGTGGAACAGTCAGGACTCAAACGGCAATGGGATGCCAGTGCTGCAGTCTGGGGCTTTAACCTGCTGTACCACAGCGCCAGCCCCAAGATCTCTCTTGTCTCTCCCTCTCCCTCTCTCTGTAACTCTTTCAAATAAACAAATCTTAAAAAAAAAAAAAAAGGTATATATTGACTGTGGCATAGCCCATTCTGTGTCCACCAAGTCCATTGTCCCATCTCCCAAAGTAAGAGAGATATACTTAAGAGCAAGGCACCCTGAGATGCAACCTATCAGACCAGCCCTCCCCTGGGTCCAGCCAGGTAACAGTGTCAACAGGGTGCCATTCCTAAGGAGGTTCACCTCTCCCTTGTAATGTCTCTTCCAGTACCCACATGAAGAGATAAGCCTGGGTCGCACACATAACTGGCCAGACCATAAAGCCTACCCCATCATTATTAAACTAAAACCTGCTCCTGTCCATTCTGATTTACCTTCAAATGGGTTAGCAAACAGGGTGCAAAGGACTAGCTAACTCGGACAGCACGGCCAAGCAAAGATTTATAGACAGCTCCCACCTAACTGGACAGATCCTTTGCAGAGGACCGAAAGGACCAATCTCTTGGAGTGGGAATTGGGGTTGATTATTTTAAACGGTCTGCTAGTCTGCTTCCCTACCTGAGACTCCTCCTGAGACATTAGACTAGAACATGGCTACTGGGTACCGAAGAAAAAAGCACAACTACCTGGTCTACCAGAAAATAAACTATTGGGGGCTCATCCTCACCTCTGGGGAACAGAAACTGGCCCCAAGAGAGAATGCAATCCATGTAGTGGATTCATGTTCCTACGACCTTAAGACAGTTTCAACTAACAGGTTATGGACCCCTAGGGAAAGCGAAATAGCAAAGCTCCTACAGCAGGCTCTATGTCAGGCTCTCAAGAGCAAGTGGGGGGAAGGGGGCTGGCACTGTGGCGCAGCGGGTTAAAGCCCCAGCCTGCAGCGCCCGCATCCCATATGAGTGCCAGTTCAAGTCCCAGCTGCTCCTCTTTCAATCCAGCTCTCTGCTATAGCCTGGGAAAGCAGTAGAAGACGGCCTAACTCCTTGGGCCCCTGCACCTACATGGGAGACCCGAAGAAGCTCCTGGCCCCCGGCTTCGGATCAGTTCAGCTCTGGTCATTGTGGTATTTTGGGGAGTGAATCAGAGGAACAGAAGACCTCTCTCTCTCTCTCTCTGGCTCTACCTCTCTCTGTAACTCTGTCTTTCGAATAAATAAAATAATTCTAAAAAAAAAAAAAAAAAGGAATAAAAAGAAAAGAGCAAGTTGGGGGCCAGTACTGTGGGGTAGCAGATAAAGCCACAGCCTGCAGTGCTGGCATCCCCCTTATGAGTGCCAGTTCGAGTCCCGGCTGATCCACTTCTGATCCAGCTCTCTATTCATGGCCTGGAAAGCACTGTAAGATGACCATAGTGCTTGGAACCCTGCACCCACGTGGGAGACCTGGAAGAAGTTCCTGGCTTCAGATTGGCACAGCTTTGGCTGTTGCAGCCAATTGGGGAGTGAACCAGTGGACAGAAGACCTCTCTCTCTGCCTCTCCTTCCCTCTCTGTGTAACTCTGACTTTCAAATAAATAAATAAATCTTTAACCAAAAAAAAAAAAAAAAAAAAAGAGTAAGTGGGAATAGAGCCCCCTCCTTTGGAAAAAACACTCAACCTTCATCCAGTGAAAAGCTGCCATTACTAGGGCCCAAGCTAGGGTTGTTAAATTCAGCCCTTCAAAACGGGCATCTGCTGTCCGAGCGTCATCTGTCATATTCTCAAAAACAATTTTTTTATTAAACTAGACAGGTACAAAACCACGTTCCCCGTTTCTTGAGTAAAGCTGGACAAGCCCACGGTCAGCATGAACAAGGCTGGACTATCTGGCCCAGCATCTGGTCATGAACACCCTGCTGCTGCCCCGTGACCTTACAGCTTCCACACTCCCACTGCTCTGCTCTGGACCACGTATCTCTAATGCTCTCATAATTTTTTTAAAGATTTATTTATTTATTTGCAAGCAGAGTTACACAGAGGGAGGAGAGGCAGAGAGAGAGAGAGAGAGAGAGAGATCCTCCTACCCGATGGTTCACTCCCCAGTTGGCCGCAACGGCCGGAGCTGCGCCTATTGGAAGTCAGGGGCCAGGAGCCTCTTCCAGGTCTCCCACGTGGGTGCAGGGGCCCAAGGCCTCGGGCCATCTTCTACTGCTTTCCCAGGCCACAGCAGAGAGCTGGATCAGAAGTGGAGCAGCCGGGTCTCGAACCGGCGTCCATATGGGATGCCGGCGCTTCAGGCCAGGGCATTAACCCGCTGCGCCACAGCGCTGGCCCCTCTAATGCTCCCATAATTTTCTATCTAACAGAGAACAAGCCATCCAGCTCCGGACGATCATGAGACAGGGCTTCCGGCCTATCCCTCTGGATGATATGACCAGGCCTCTGGACCACACAAGACAAGCTTCTGCAGGCCGCCTCCACACACCACAGGACAGACAGCAAGAGAACTCCACCCAAGAGCAGCTCCGTGCCCGAATGTCAGCTCCAAAGAAAACACGAAGATGGACCTTCATCCACGTCCCACCGTAAAATTATGGGTTACTTTTCTTGAGGGGAGAATGTTAAGGTAGCTAAGTAGACATGAGCCTATGTGTCCATGAGGGGCCGAAGAAAAATGTGAATTTATGCATGATGGAACAAGGAAGCAAGCCTTGAAGCAAACCAGCATTTAGATGGTAAAGTCTTGCCACTGCTCAATTACCTGGTTGGGGGGTCCCAGCCCTCTCCCTGGGGGCAGCTTAGGGTAATATCATCTGCCCTCCACCAAGGGGGCTACTGTGAAATTCTGGTAGGGGTTCCACATCCAGAAAGCCCTCCACTCAGCAATATTTCAGAAATGGTATAGGCAGGGAAAAAAAGGACCCACACCCAACATCCATAAAACTCCAATCAGCGCAGACTGAGCTCTCGGCGTTCACGGAGACGCCTGCCTGGTCTGTCAGGCGATTATTTCTATTTTTATTTTAAAGACTTATTTTTTATTTATTTCAAAGTCAGAGTTACAGAGAGAAGAGGAGAGACAGAGAAATCTTCCATCCGCTGGTTCATTCCCCAAATGGCGGCAGCGGCCTGGGCTGGGCCAGGCCAAAGCCAGGAGCTTTGTCCAGATCTCCCACAAAGGCGCAGGGACCTAAGCACTTGGGCCACCTTGTGCTGCTTTCCCAGGAAATCCGCAGGGAAGTTTATCAGAAGCAGAGCAGCTGGGTCTCAAACTGGTGCCCATATGGGACGCTGGCGTTGCAGGCAGAGGCTTCACCTGCTAGGCCACGACACCGGTCCCTTCTTCATTTCTTTTCATTAAACTTTGCTCACCTATTTACTGGTTTAAAAAAAAAAAAAAAACAGAGTGGCGCAGTGGCACTGTAGCAGGGGAAACATACCACCAGACAGCACACTGACCAAGCTCCACCAATGGAGTATGACACCATCAGTAATCAATGTGTCTCACTTATTTGGAAATCTATGATCCTGAATTTCCACTGTTTCCCCTTCTCACTGGCTGGATTAGTGACCTTTGCAATAAAAGCCCCACGGCTGTTGAGGGGAGCAGAGCTGTACACCAGCCTGGAACATCCTCACTGGACTATTATGTGAGGAAGGACACAGACTTCTATCACACACTAGGCACTACATGCTGGCAGCTCTGTCACAGCTGTTCAGGTTTCAACCCTAGTTAATTCAATTCCAGACACAAGTAACTCAGATGCCTAGAACACATCGGATAAAGAGCCAACGTAAAAACTATGTAAAAAGATAGGCAACAGTCAATTTGCAAACAGGCAGCATCCTATTAACAAAACTGAAAAAGTAAAATATATCACCAAAGCAAACTAAATGCTACTACTACTTGTCTTTCAGGAAAGTCACCCAATTCCAATAGGCAGCTTCAGACAATAGAGTTGACTGAAGCAAAGACTTACTCAACCAGTGGGAACCGACTTGACTCAGCATTACAAGTGATTTATAAGCCCGTCTGCCCGGACTGCAACACCTGCTTCTCCAGAGGTACAGCCCCCTCTCTCCACTTTGTAGGCACAGCAACATGCCCAAGGCAGAGGAGCTGTCAAAGCACTCTGAAAACTAACATTTCAAGAAACTCAAGGAATCACACTATCTTCACAGTCACCCTCAACTGCTTTTCGAGCCAGACCCTCCCAGTACATAGCCCCTGTGTCGCAGGTGTGGGAGCTGGCAGTAGCAGCAACAGCAGTGCTGGTCGTGGTCACCATCACACCGTGATGGCAGGAACCCCTCCCCCCACCTAACTCTGGATGTTTGCAGGTGGGAACCCTCGAAAGAAACATCAAGTTACACAGATGGTGTTTCCAGCAGGCTCATCTCACCCTCACAGTTTCCTCTGGAAATCTCCCCTTTAGCCAGAAATTTCAACATTTTTTTCAAAACCTTCTTGTGAGATTTTGATGGCTGAAACTGTAAAGGTCGGCACCTAAGAAAGAAAAATAAATATTTAAAAAGTGAACTCACACTGTGAAGAAACAGACCCAGCTCTGCACAACGTCTGCCACACAGAAGCCACTTTCATGCCCGAGATTTCTGCTAAGATGGGGCTTAATGTAGCTTCTGCTTCCACTCCAAATCTCATTAAAACTACAGACAGGGAATTTTTTAAAAAGAAAAACACATAAATCATAGGAAAAGGAGAAGGGGAGAAATGTCAGGAGCTGGAACATGTAAGTACAACTGGTAACTGACTTGGCAGATCCAAGTTGAATCCCAAGACAACAGTGGGAAAAGCCAACACTATGTCCAGTGTTCTCCACACTGCCCCAACAGTCCCAGGGACCGAGATGCCCGATACTTCTGGGAATACGAGGATTCCCTGCAAGTCTGTGCTCAAAGGCGTTAAGTCAGATCCCTCTCCACTCAGCAGAGATGACCCCCGACACAATCTAGCTTTTGGGGAAAAGTAAGAAATAGGGTCTCCTACATGCCCAAGTACAGAGCTGACAACAGGAAGCTTAAATTAAAGTCTGCATACTGAACGGTTCTCCCCAACCCAGCCCCACAACAGCAGAAGATTCCGGTTTTCTCTCCAGAGTGTAATCAGACCTAAAAATACTGACAACAGGGACTCCAACACGCAGCAGACACATCCATCTGGGCACACAGGACTTCCAGACGCAGGAAAGCGGAAGTCACTGGACTTGAGGCAGGCCCCTCTTGCTAAGATGGGTGCCCAGACTGGAGAAGTTGGAGGATACAGCCTATGCAGAAACATGACCTTAAAAATTATATTCTCAGAGAAATTTCTTCTTAAGCTATCACAGTCATAAAATGGACTTTTCTTTTTTAGGTAACAGCCTAAGAAAAAAACACATCTCAGAAGTAAAAACTGGTAGAAGAAATAAACAAGATTTGGAAGATATAATTAAGGAAATTTCTCAGATTTAGTAAAAAGGAAAAAATGACCAGTCTAAAGGTTAGTTAAAACACTTTCACTGAATTAAAGCATGTTCAGAGTCAGGTGTGTGGCAGAGGTAAAGCCACTGTCTGCCCCTCCATGTAAGAGTCCAGTCCAAGTCCCGGCTTCTCTGCTTCTGGCTCCTGCCCACGTGCCTGGGAAAGCAGTGAATGAAAGCCCAAGCACCTGGGCCCTGCGACCCAAGTGGGAGACCAAGATGGAGCTCCTAGCTCCTGGATTGAGACTGGACCAGCCCCAGTTATTGTGGGCATTTGGGAAGTAAACCAGCAGATGGAAGATTTCTCTGTAGAGCTCTCCCTTTCTGTCACTCGGCCTTCCCACTAAGTAAATCTTCAAAAAACAAAAAAATATTTCAGACATGTGAGGTCTCAAAAAATCTCTCATGCACTTCTTCTCAGAAAGCCACTAGAGGGGCAGGCGCTGTGGTGTAGCAGGTAAAGCCATCGTCTGCAGTTCCAACATCCCATATGGGCACGGGTTCAAGTCCCGGCTGCTCCTCTTTCGATTCAGCTCTCTGCCATGACCTGCAAAAGCAGTAAGAGATGGCCCAAGTCCTTGGGCCCCTGCACCCATGTGGGAGACCCGGAAGAAGCTCCTGGCTCCAGGCTTCAGATCGGCACAGTTCCGGCTGTTGCAACCAACTGGGGAGCAAACCAGTGGATGAAAGATTCCCTCTCTGATTCCCTCTCCCTCTCCGATTCCCTCTCCCTCTCCCTGTAACTCTTTCAAATAAAATAAAGTAAATCTTTAAAAAAAAAAAAAAAAAAGGCTACTAGAAGATGTACTTCACTGACACAGAAAAAGAGAATAATAAGGAAGGATGCTCAGGATACAGTAGATGAGATCTGACTCAAGACCAGAAAACCCTAAGACTGTGGACAAGACAGATCCTGGGTGACAGTGGTGCAGCAGGTGGGGAGGCCAGCCAGTGCAGAGGAGAGCAGGTCAGTCAGTCTGGGAGAATTCTGGAAGACAATCAAAGCGACAGAGTACTTGACACATCTAAACATCTGTACCAAAGGACACTTACACAACTGGGAAAGTGTTTCATAAAAGATGACACCAAAAGACAATTAACATTGCTAGGGAAAGCAAAAATGTGCAAAGGAAAGGAAAAGAAACCACAGTACTCCACATGGCACGGCTGTGAGAATGCGTCCATCCAGAAACAGCAAGCTGGCAGTGAGCTCAAAAGGGGCCTGAATGCCGCAGGAGAACAGGAGGGAAAAAAAAAAAAAAAAAAAAAAGAAATCAAGTACAGCAATTATATGTTACTTACAGACTGGGAGATGAAAAACCAGCAAAAACAATCAAAAGATTTGAGGGTGACTGCCAATGGGAAACAGGGTAGGAAGGGGGACTCTGGGGGACCCCTATCTTCCAAATGAGCTTTATCCAACTATCAGACGTTTTAAAGTATGAGCATTTACAATTTAATTTAAAAAAAAGACTTAACAGCAAAGTTAGTCTCCATTTACACTCATATCAGGCAGCCCCTCTCTTCTTAAACATAAAGTTATCAAGGTAACTGCTGTAGTGAGCAAGTAAAATTACAAGAATACAAGAAAATAACTCAGAAAGACTGAAATATATAAATAAATTAACAATTCAGGAAACATGTGCTTCCGCATGAAATGCAAAACCCACAGTTTACAATCACTCTGTTTTGTAACATTAACTCTCTTCATGAAGACTCTACCCAGAATAGTGCTTTACATAAATGGCACCCAACATATTCTAGGTGCTTTTTCTTAGAAAAATTGAAATCGGCCTGTTCTAATCAGAAAGATCCTCAGGGTTCAGGCTGACGAGGGCTTCCCCAAGTGCACAACAGTGACCTCTGAAGACCCCGTCCTCTGCTGAGGACGTCAGCCTTCCCAGTCATGACGCCTGCAAGGGGATGGCCGAGGCACTCTCCCTGCATTAAATGAGACTGCAGGCCAGCCACAGGCCATCTGGCCTCCTTATCTGCCAAGCCCATGTCCAGCTTCCTAAAGAGAAAAGGCTGTTAATCAGGAGTCCATGGACTTTCAGTAAATATGCAGAACATTTTCGTAGTCTATATGTCTTAAAAAACAATGGATAGGGGTGGGTTTTGTAGAACAGAGGGGTAAGCAGCTACTTGGGACACCTGCACCCCAATCAGGAGGGTATGGGATCCAGTCCCACCTCTGATTCCAATCCAGCATCCTGCTAATGCACACCCTGGGAGGTAGCAGATGCTGGCCCCAAAGTACTTGGGTCCCTGCCACCCTCATGGGAAATCAAGATGGAGTTCTTGGCTCCTGGCTTCCACCAGGCACGGGGGGGTGAAGCTGGGGATGGTGCATCTGTCTGTCTCCCTCCGCCCTCTCCCTCACTCTACCTTTCAAATAACGAATGTGGAACTATAGCAGTAATCAAGTTCTCAGAGGCGGTCTGCAGCTCAAAAGCAAGCTAACAGCAACTAAGGGAGACAGCAACAAGGCCAACAGAACCGTGAATACAAGCGTGTTCACTTTTTCAGCCACATACAGACATCAAAATGGAAGACAAGACATACTGCAAAATGTTAATGCACTGCCCCCATCTTCTGCCAACAAAAAAAATTTTAAATGAAGATGACCTTTATAATCAGAAAAGAAGGGAAAAATCCTATGTTAGGGTAGAGTAATGGGCACATAGAAAGTCTAAAAGATTATGAAAAATCAAGCAAATGCTTTGTCAAATTATAGACTTTCTGGGTTAAAACTTTCCAAGTGTGAAAATCTGACTTTGTGGCAGGACTGAGCGCTGCTTGAAGACCAGACTGTGGCAAGTCCTCAGCTAAGTGCTGTCGCGGATTTCTGAAAGTACTTTGAATATCTACCAGTATTGCACAGCATCTACTCACTGAATTGCTAAATCAGTTTTTTTTTTCACATATTTGTATCAGAATCAGTATTAAAAGCTACTGATTTGTACATGAATATAATATCAACATGCAGAAATGACAACTCAATTCTTTTTCCTTAAAGAATACCTAATTAGGTTTAACGTTCTTTAAAAAGCTTAGGAATCTACTAACACACGTCTGAACACTCTTGGTGCTTTAGATCCTCCTCCTGGTTCTGAAATTCTTACCTTATTGTGTACTGAGGACAGCATGTCTGATGCATGACAGGTTTATACACGTATTTCCCACTCCTAAAGTTGTAAAAATAGTTGGTTAATTTCTTACATTTTTCACATGTACCAAAATAAATTAGAACAGGAGCACTAAGTTAATTAAGGGTTAAAAAAATAAAAACCAGTAACACAAAAGTGTATTTTGGTTTAACTGTTCTTCCTAATTTAAATAATCTTGCAAGTGGGTATATCAAGGACCAGAAACCAGTCTTTTCTCTCCTAAACCCTTCCATGTGAACCCCAGGGTTAATCCTCTGAACCATGTTCTCATCAGATCTGCAAGCCTTCCACTCCCTGACCTGCCACGACCCCCGACACGACAAGCTCAGGGACAGAAAACTGCCCGTGCTGCTGAGGGACTGGCACCTGCTGCTGAGGGACTGGCACCTGCTGCTGAGGGACAGAAAACTGCCCGTGCTGCTGAGGGACTGGCACCTGCTGCTGCCTGGGACACCCACTTGGGTGTTCCACACGCACCAGCACAAATAGCCATCACCAACCTTTCCACGGTTTCCAGACTGCAGTTAATGCCACAAACTTACATCAAGTTCTCAAGCCAGACACCTGAGTCACTAGACGATTCTTTTCATTCACCTCCATATCCATTAGCAAATGCTCCGCGTCTTAAAAACCACCTTAAATTTGCCCGCCCCTCTCCACTGCCATTGCCAGAGACGCCACTCCTCCTCACCTCACCTCTGTACAGTGCAACCACCTCTGGAACTCGCCTTCCTAGCTGCCACCTCAACACTCTCCCAAAGCAAATCCCAACAATCAATCTCACGTGAAATCCTCCAACAGCTCCCTTCTGCCTCCAGGGAAGAACAGTTCATCCAGGCAAACAAAATCTTTCAGCATCGGACCCATGGGCCAGCACTGTGGCGCATAGGCCAAACCGCCACCTGCAGCACCCACATCACCTATGGGCGCTGGTTCGTGTCCCAGCTGCTCCTCTTCTGACCTAGCTCTCTGCTTATGGCCTGGGAAAGCGATGGAAGATGGCCCGACTGCTTGGGCTACTACACCCATGTGGGAAACCCGGAAGAAACTACTGGCTCCTAGCTTTGGATCCGCCCAGCTCCGGCTGTTGAGACAATTTGGGGAGTAACTAGCAGACAGAAGCCCTTTCTCTCTGTCTCTCCCTTTCTATCTGCAGCTTTCCTTTCAAATAAATAAATAAAATCTTAAAGAAAACAAACTAGGGACCAGCGCTGTGCCACAGTACATAAAGCCACCGCCCGCAATGCCAGCATTCCATAAGGGCACTGGTTCTAGTTCCCAGCTGCTCCACTTCGGATCCAGCTCTCTGCTATGGCCTGGGAAAGCACCCACATGGGAGACCCAGAAGAAGCTCCTGGCTTCAGATCAGCACAGCTCCGGCCATTGCGGCCAATTAGGGAGTGAACTAGTAGATGGAATACCTCTCTCTGCCTCTCCTTCTCTGTGTAACTCCAACTTTCAAATAAATAAATAAATAAATCTTTAAAAAATCTGACCTACATCTACCTGGTTGAGCATCCTTATTAAAGAAAATTATGATTTTCCAATTGGTGCACTCAATCCTTTGTCATTTTTTAAGATCTCTTTATTTATTTGAAAGAACTGCAGAGACAGGGGGATAGAGACAGCAGGAGAAAGATCTTCCATCAGCTGCTTCACTCCTCAAATAGCCACATGGCCAGGGCTGGGCCAGGCCGAAGGTAGGAGCCAGGAGCTTCATCTGGGTCTCCCATGTGAGTGTCAAGGGCCCAAATACTTGGCCCATCTTCCACTACTTTTCCCAGGCCATTAGCAGAAAGCTGGATGGGAAGTGGAGCAATCAAGACAGAAACCAGTGCCCATATGGAATGCCAACAATGCAGACTGTGGCTTTACCTGCTACACCACACCAGCCCCTCCTTTATCTCTGAATAATAGCATGGAGTATCTAACGTTGCTTCTGTTAAGAAACTTTACCTGGGGCCGGCACTATGGCGTAGTGGGTAAAGCCGCCGCCTGTAGTGCCAGCATCCCATATGGGCACCAATTCGAGACCCGGCTGCTCCACTTCTAATCCAGCTCTCTGCTATGGCCTGGGAAAGCAGAAGATGGCCCAAGTCCTTGAGCCCCTGCACCCACGTGGGAAGATCTGGAGGAAGCACCTGGCTCCAGATCGGCGCAGCTCCGGCTTTTGCGGCCATCTGGAGAGTGAACCAGCAGATGGAGAATCTCTCTCTCTCTCTCTGCCTCTCCTTCTCTCTCTGTGTAACTCTGCCTTTCAAATAAATAGGTAAATCTTAAAAAAAAAAAAAAATTTGAAAAAAACTCGGGGGCCAGCGCCGTGGCTCACTTGGCTAATCCTCCGCCTGCGGCGCCGGCATCCCATATGGGTGCCGCATTCTAGTCCCAGTTGCTCCTCTTCCAGTCCAGCTCTCTGCTGTGGCCCGGGAAGGCGGGCCCTGCGCCCGCATGGGAGACCAGAAGGAGGCACCTGGTTCCTGGCTTCGGATCGGTGCAGCTCTGGCCGTTGCAGCCAACTGGGGAGTGAGCCAGTAGATGGAAGACACCTCTCTCTCTCTCTCTGCCTCTGCTTCTGTCTGTGTAACTCAAATAAATAAATAAATCTTAAAAATAATCTTTTCAAGAGTTAATTTAAAATCATCTCTGTAAAAACCTCACCCAAAAACAAAAGCAATGTGTGGAATCTGGAATCCTGATTCAAATAAAACTGTCTAAACAGAAAAAGAAATGTCTTTGAGGCAACCCAAAGATCCAAATGAAACTGGATAATAAGTACCATCAAAGAACTAATTTTCTTAGTTATGATGGGGCATTTTGAATACGTTAAGAAGGAAACGCCTTCTCTCTTACAGACTCTCTTCTATAGGTATGCCGAGATGAGACCTGTAACAGCAGTCTACAGATGAGACCTGCTGCAAAGCACTGTGGGAGCGGAGTGAGGACTGGCAGACTGAGCGACTACTGAAGCCAGGGACACGTGAGTGAGGCTTGGTATAATACTCTCCGCCTCGCTGTATAACTGAAGCTTTCCTCACAAATACTTTTTAAAAGAGAACAAAAACACTACACAAAGGACTGTAACAAAAATGTGAATCCTCATTCCAACAACAGAACGTCAAAGACAAGCCACATCTCGCAGGGAGCCGCAGCCCAGCAGGCACGGCAGGCCGCGGCCCGCGGAAGCAGCTTTACCTCCGCCAGCCTCGGTCGATGAGGTCCTGGTAGTCCCGCACGGTCAGGGAGTGCGCCCACATGCCTGGAAAAGAAAACAAGCACGGTGTCAGTCACAGGACAGACCTCCTCCTTTAAACTCCAGCATCACCTTAAACATACGAATATTTAGGTAAAAATCCTGTAACATTCACCCCGGAAAAAAGTGAAAATGTTGTACACACTTCATTCTTGTTAACCTGACCTAATAAAACACAACACAAGTGCAAAACACAATTTAAAATTCGAATATGTTAAAGTGACTACTTCTTTAAAATTTGATAGGCACAGAGAGCGCTCTCATCTGCTGGTTCACTCCCCAAATGCCTGCAAAGGCCAAGCCAGCAATGCAACCCAGGTCTCCCACTTGGGCAGCAGAAACCCGACAACCTGAGCCATCACCACTGCCTCCCAGGTCTGCACTGGCAGCAGCTGAGATCAGGAGCCAAAGCTAAGAATCAAAGCAAGGAATCCGGGTGAGGATGCAGGCATTTAACTGTTAGACACACCCACTCCTGAAACCAGTTACGTTTACCTTTAGATTAAAGTCAACTGTCAGTAGTCTCCGTGACATCACAGATTTAGATCCTCACCACAATCGGAAGGCACCACCCCTCCGAACTTTAATAATATCCCCAATGGATTTAACAAGGCCCACTCACCCATAAACGCATGTTCTAAAGACTTTGACAATTAAAATTAGAATTAAAAATGACAGGAGAGGCCAGCACTCTGGCATAGCGGGTAAAGCTGCCGCCTGCAGTGCAGACATCCCGTATGGGCGCCAGTTTGGACCTGGCTGCTTCACTTCTGAGCCAGCTCTCTGCTGTGGCCTCGGAAAGCAGTAAAAGATGGCCCAAGTCTTAGGGTTCCTGCACCCACATGAGAGCGCCAGAGGAAGCTCCTGGCTCCTGGCTTCGGATGGGCACAGCTCCAGCCATTGCAGCCAGTTGCGGAGTAAACCAGCAGATGGAAGACCTCACCCTTTCTCTCTCTGCCTCCGCCTCTCTATAACTCTGCCTTCAAATAAATAAATCTTGTTTTTTAAATGACATGAATTTGTACAAATACTCTGCAAAGGAAACGGAAGGAACCTGCATTGGTTTGCAAGCACTGCCACTACCTGGTGTGCTTCTGGGGCTTCTCCTCTCGGAACTGCAATCAAGTCCATTACGCCACTTGCATCCTGTTCGTTTTCTCTATCTAACCCTACCTGTAAACGTTTTTCTGCTTAGCCCATCTGGGTAACTACTCCTGCAACTGAAGGATGTTTGTCCACTCAGATGCACGCTCACAGCAAGTGCCTAACACTTTTTTTATTTCAGATTTATTTTTGAAGTTGCCAGTGCTGTGGCATAGCCGGTAAAGCAGCCACCTGTAATGCCGGCACCCCATACTGGCACCAGTTGGAGTCCCGGCTGCTCCACTTCTGATCCAGCTCTCTGCTAATGAGCCTGGGAAAGCAGTAGAAGATGGCCCAAATGCTTGGGCCCCTGCATGGGAGACCTAAGGAAGCTTCCGGCTCCTGGCTTCCGTTTGGCCCAGTTCCAGCCCTTGCGGCCATTCGGGGAGGGAACCAGCTGACGCATGATCTCTATCCTTCTGCCTCTGCCTCTCTGACTTTGCCTTTCAAATAAATTAATTTAAAAAAGTATTTGTTTTGGGGGTCGGTGCTGTAGCCCAGAGGGTTAAAGCCCCACCTGCAGCGCCTACATCCCGTATGGGCACCAGCTGGTATTCCCCGCTGCTCCACTTCCAACCCCGCTCCCTGCTAACGGCCTGGGAAGGCAGGGCTGGATGACCAGAGTCCTTGGGACCCCTGCACCCACGCGGGAGACCTGGAAGGAGCCCCGGGCTCCCGGCTTGGTCCTGGCCCGGCCCTGCCTGTCGCGACCATCTGGGGAGTGAACCAGCGGATGGAAGCCCGGTCACTCTGCCTTTCAAATAAACTCTCAAGAGACAAGAGAAAGTTTACAAAAACAATAGGTCTAACCCTTTATATCCGCATGACACAGCAGGAAATTAACGGGAAACATAAACTGTCCCCCAAAGAACACAAAACCGTGGGCTGGCCCTGCCTTTGGCGCTGGGGTCCCTGGCAACCAGGACAAACCGAGCAGGGCAGACGTGCGCCGGGCTGCAGCTCCGGGGTCCCGGAGGCGCAGCTGTCCGGCCGGCTGCGCCCAGCTGCGCGCACCACACGCCCGCGCCACGCGCGCCTCGGGCAAAGACCCCCGCGGACCCCGGCCGGCCTTTAACCGCCGGGCCCCCAGCCACGCAGGGCGCTCCTGAGGAACAAGCGGCAGAGTCACACGCGAGCGGAACGCGGAACGCCGGGCGGGCGCCCCGGGCCCCTCTAGCGGGTCCGCCCGGGCCGCGGCGCCGCGACGCCCGGCCTCCCACGCCCGCCAGCCCGGCGCGCTCACCATGGGAGCGACTGCCCGACTCGTTCTTGCAATAGCCGCAGCGGTAGAAGTCCTCGCCCTCGAAATACTCCACGACGCTGGGCGACACCGCAGCCCAGGCGGCCATGGCCCCGGCCCCGCAGACGCCCGGCCGCCGGGCTCCCCGCCGCCGCCGCCGCCAGCCCACAATGCAGCGCGCCACGCGGGAGGCCCCCAAGGCTCGCGCGAAGCCGCTCGGCGCCCGCGGGCCCGGCTCGGCCCGGCGTCGCTCGCCGCTGACGCCGCTCGCGCCATCTTGAGCGAGGGCAGCCGCCCGCGATTTCCGTTTCTTCCCCGTCGCCGTCCGTGAGGGTGAGACGGAGCGAGGCAGCGGGAAGGGGACCGGGCCCGGCACAGGCGACTTGGACAGGGGCGCGGGAGCGGGCCGCGGCGTCCGCTCGCTCTTCGGGCCGGGCCGGCAGAGGCCGCGGCGGACGCCTGCGGGCCAGGGGCGCGAGACGGCCGCGCCGCCGGGGACACTCACCGCAGGACACTTTGCCCTCCTCGGAGTCGCAGTAGCCGCAATGGTAGCCGGCCTTGAGGCCCTTGTACTCCACCAGCGAGGCCATGGCCGCCGCGAGGTGCCGCGCGGGCCGGCCACGCCTCTCGGCGCCCGGGGCCGACCTGGGCCGGGAGCGGGGGCCGGCGGCGGGGAGGGCGCAGGCGAGGCCGGCCGGGGGTCCCCGCCGCTGCGGGCGCGAGCGGGAGCAGGCGAGGCCGGCCGGGGGTCCCGCCGCTGCCGACGCGAGCGGGAGGGCCGCAGTCGCGCCCCGAGCCGGCGTCGCGGCCAGCCTGCCCAGGGCCGTGCGGCCGCGGCCCCATGTCGCGGATGAGACCGCCGAGACGCGCAGGCTGTGAATGGGCCGAGCCTTGCGTTCGGGTCTCCGCAGACCACCTTGCGGGTAACCGACGAGCCAGCACTCGCTTAATACCCGTGGGTAACAGGTGCAGGCGCAGCCGGTCTGACTGGTGAGGGCTCTGGGCGTTTTTAAAGGAAACCGCTGTCAGAACCATTGCAGCCTTGAGCCGCTGTATGCCCGGTGCCAGAGAGGGAATCCGGGTTGTTTTGGAATGTGAAAATATTTAGTTAAGATAAATTTTTTATAATTCTCTGGGTTAAACAAGACATTTGTATAGGCCATGGGTCTCCAATGTGCTGCCACTGTTTTTTTTTTTTTTTTTTTTAAGATTTTATTTATTTGAGAGGCCGGCACCGTGGCTCACTTGGTTAATGCACCACCTGTGGCGCCGGGTTCTAGTCCCGGTTGCCCCTCTTCAGTCCAGCTCTCTGCAGTGGCCTGGGAGTGCAGTGGAGGATGGCCCAAGTGCTTGGGCCCTGCACCCCATGGGAGACCAGGAGAAGCACCTGGCTCCTGCCTTCATATCAGCGCGGTGCGCCGGCCACAACGGCCATAGGGGGTGAACCAACGGCAAAAGGAAGACCTTTCTCTCTGTCTCTCATTGTCCACTCTGCCTGTCAAAAAATAAATAAATAAAAAATAGATCATTAAAAGTGAAAGAAGAGAGAAAGGCTCAGAAATCTTCCTTCTGCTGGTTTGCTCCCCAGATGGCCAGAGCTGGGCCAGTCAGGAGCCAGAGGCTTCATCTGGGGCTCCCGCGTGGGTGGCAAGGACTCAAACTGGCCCCTGTGTAGCATGCAGGTGGCCACCTGTGGGTGATCCTGTACCTGCCCTGCCCGTGCAGAAGGTTGAGGGGGCATGGCGCACCGTGCCCCCTGGGAGGGACCCCACAACCTGACTGCTGGCAGGCAGTGGGAGCCCCAGGCACTCTCCCCTCCCAGTTAAAGGGCCCTGTAATTGCCAGTCAGGTAAACAGCTCCTGGGTGTGGCCCAGGCCCATTAGGACCACCTGGAAAGCTACCTGAGCTATGTGACCTTCAATCTGATTGGAGAAGCACAGTGACGCCAATATTGGTTCTATCGTACAGAATTAGTGTTGCCCTGAATTAGTTATGCCCCTCCTGCCTGCCCTTTTAAAGGTGTGCGTGGTCGTTAATAAAGCAGACACATGAAACTCATCTCCGGTGCTTCTTGCCGAAGAACGTCATGGCCCCACCATCCCAGCGGTGCGTGGGCCTCGCGGGTCAAGCGTGCAGCCCCCTCCTTAACCTTTCCTAATGTGTGCCCAGGTAATTTAAGCCTGGCTATCCTCTTAGTTTTTCTAGTCAGCAGTAAGGGGATTATATTTTTTGCAATGTGTAAAAAGTGAAATCATGAAACTCAAGAGAAATAGACTTTGGAGTATGTGGGGGAGGGTAGGGAGACAGAGCGGGCTGGGATCCATAGGTTCCCTTGCAGATACCCAGAGTGGCTTGGGGCTCCCTAGGTCTGAAGCTGGCATCTGGGAACTCTGCCTGCTGTGAGTGGCAGGAACCCCCTGAGCCGTCACACTGCCTCCCAGGGCCTGCATTAGCAGAGGCTTGACATGACTACCACATCTGCTGTTGGCTATGCGTCTAGCTAAGTTGAAGACGTCTCTTGGCCTAGTGACTTGACATTGTTAAGTATTGTTTGTGCCGCACACAATGGAAAGGAACCTAAGAGATGGCCATGCAGCGTGCACGAAGTCCTAGGGTGCCCCTAGACTGTGCAGCACTCCAGGGCTTCAGGGCCGGCGCTGTGGCGTAGCAGGTGAAGCCGCCACCTACAGTGCCAAGCATTCCATATGGGGGCCAGTTCAAGTCTGGCTGCTCCACTTCTGATCCAGCTCTCTGCCATGGCCTGGGAAAGCAGTGGAAGATGGTCCAAGGCCTTGGGCCCCTGTACCTGCATGGGAAGACCCGGAGGAAGCTCCTGGCTCCTGGCTTTGGATCAGCACAGCTCCAGCCATTGCGGTCAAGTGGGGAGTGAACCAGCAGTTGGGAGACCTCTCTCTTTGCCTCTCCTTCTCTCTGTGTGTAACTTTTTTTTTTTATTTGGTTATTAGTCTATGAAAGAGGCACCGCGAAGGGGGCGGGCGATGTACCCGTCCGTGGGGGACGGCCGCCACCAACCGGGGGGTCCCCCGCCCGAGGGAGAGGCGAGGCCTACGCCGTCCTCTGTCAACCAAGAGGAGGCCGCGGGGGCAAAGGGGGGGATACTGAAGGGCAAAGTCCCATAGGAGGCGGGCGGGGGAGGAGAGAGGGGAAGGATAAAGAATAGTGGCTAG